GAGCGAACGCCGGTATGTGTTCTCTCACTTCCCGATCTACTGAGCCGACCTGTGGCAGTCTCATTGTCGCAGGTCGGCTAGAACTGAGGTGAGCGAAGAGCACCCCCCTCATAGTTCTCCTTTTAAACCGAAATTATACAAAATATATATTTTTTTATTTTAAACATTTGGAAATCAAATAAAAAAAAAATATATATTTTTTTAATTCCAACTGTTTAAACCCAGAAAAATAAAATATGATAAGAAAAAATCTTTTCATATATCTATGAAATTCTCTTCCCAGCGTCGCTGCTCAGAAAGCCGGGACTGTCACCGTTTCGGGGTAGTAAGCTCTCGTCCGGATATTTCAGTGTTTTTTAGTCCCCGGCGCGGTTCTGTTTTTATGCTTGAAGTGGGAGTCGGTCCGTTGTATTTCAGAGATGGGCGGTCCTCTGGCGGGGGGTGGGGGAGGGGACGGGACACAATTGCTGTACACAGGTCTTATTTTTAGTTACTCAGAGCATGATAGACATTGCCTGGCCGTGTCTACTAAACGTCGTCACGCTGCTCTTCGGGTACCGCCCCCGAGGAATGTGCCTTTTTACGTTTGAGTTCTTGGTGCTTGGTCATGTGCCTGGGGCAGTGTTATTGTATTATTCCCCCCTCCTGTGCTGCCACACCTTTCATATAGCTCTGCCCATGTATAAATCTGTATGTGTATATATATTATATCACAGTGTATCACTATAATAACATGTATTATATGTCGGGGGGGGGGGACGGGGCACGGTGCTCGGATCCGCTCCCCACCCCCGAGCTCCCCCTGTCATTACAGCCGGGGGAGAGAAATGTATTTTTATATATATAAATTAACCTTTGCGCACCTTGTGAAAGCTTAATAAATATTATTCTAGATGCGTTTGTCTGTCTGTGCGTCCTTGTAAGATGACGGCAGAGCGTCCGATGGGGTGATGGTGACTTCTCCTTTTCAGCGGGACTGACTCATCGTCAGATGGTCCTTATCTGTTTCCTGCCAGCCGCCGCCACGGAGGCGAGAGTCGCGTCTCATCACTTTTGCAGCACCCAGGAGTGGGGGGGAG